TACATGGTGTGGAAGACCCTAAATTGAATTAGGGTCGAGGTACCAAAATGCAAGACAAACATGCAGAAATGGGGTCTCTTACCAGACGAAGAAAACATCTTGTGCGCGTGTGGTGCTGTTCAGGATCCTGGCCATCTGCTGATCTGCCCACGCCTAGACCAGTCTTGCAAATTAGATGATCTTTTACATGCAAATGACAAAGCCATATCGGTAGCTAATTTTTGGAAAAGTGAAGTCTGATTTCCGGACACGGAAAGTAAGTACTGTTTTAAACCAGTTTTTATTTGCACAAAATCAAAACATATCTAAAAAAACATTCGACATAATGGATATTATAAGACTTCGACCAGGAAGTTCAATAGGAGGAGGCCGTCGAACTTTAACTGGTAGATGCGAACGAAATGCAAATAATGCTATTGTCGTTGATAGCCGGATACTATGTTAACGTTTTAAAGGTAAACGTTTGGATATATACCTAATATCAGAAAGAGACTGGAACAAGATTGGGAGATGGGCCATTATGAAACGCAGTTTGTCACAGGACATAGAAAATTTCAAGGTGAATTTGTGGAGATTTCACCTGTTGAAAGAGGAAGTATGTAGATGTGGAGAAATAAAAACCACAAGTCACGTATTTATAAATAGTTCACTTCAGGAGACAAATAGGAGAGAACTGGAAGAAGTCTTGGATAAGAGAGGTCTAGAGATGAGAAAATAAAACATGATGAGTGACAAGGAAACAACTGAGACGTTTAGAAAAATAGTTAAGGAAATAGGAAAAACCAGGGATACATACAAGTTCTTTTTAAATTTAAATAAGAAACAAACAAAAACTAAGAAAGAAAATGAATGAAAACTTGCCCATGAAAGGGAGAGGAAAGGTTAGTAGAGCGAATCTCAATGATCCCTATTGCTCAGGGCGGTATGGGGAAGGGAGTCGTGCTGTTAGGCTTTTGAACACATAATGTGTCTGGACGAGTATTAAAAGTGGCTGAAGCCTAAAAAGAAAGAAGATTTTTACGGGGAATTGGCCTGGCAAATAGGTCCTGGATTTAAGCCAGGGTGGTAGTGGGAACGAGGAGTTTGCTACAAACATTTACTGACTTGGCTGAAATGAAATATCTACTATTTGAATTGGGTTGGCGTAAATGTTACAATGGAAAAAAGCGAGAGGGCCTGGATAATTTGATATACCTACTAAAAAAAAACTGAATTATCACGGTGCTGGATTTCTTAGTAACCATTGTAAGACCCGATTTGCAAACTATGGAAACATAGGAAAGTCACAGAACACCTCATTTTCAAGGAGAGGAAATAAAAGTAATGTTTTTTTTTAAGAATTTATAATCGTTATTATGGACAACCTAATGTGGCTATGAGTAAGGCTATTCATAGAAAACACTATTTACCCTACAAGAAATGTTGATTATATCGATCTGTTATGTACATCTTGAGTATTTCCATAATCTTTGAGTTGAATCTTTTAAAGTCATAAGAAATTATGACCGTTATTCAATAACGCCTGTAATACTTAGCAATTGCTTGAATTCTAGCAACAGGTAGGGCCTATACTAGTAAGGATTTATTAGATTTGTTGAAAAGATAAATATGTACTCTGTTTTTGTGAAACATTTTTACAGAAACATGGCTCCTATCATTACAAAGCTAGGTATATGCCAACAAACACCTTGTGACCCACCATTTCAAGAGTGACCCAAATTACAAGTACTGTAATGTAGGTCACGTGACTGACATTACACAGTGACTCAAACGCATAAATGGAGAACTTCTATGAGAAATGAGAATAGGTCAAGTAAAGAAGTAAACAGAAATAATTTTCTGGTCCATAATTTTTCTAACCCAATTTTTCCATAATTTTCCATAGATTTTCATGATTGTCTGGAAATAACTTTGGGTTACCAAAAAAATAATTCTTGACATTGGAAACTCATAAGAGAAGTAATTTGGGTCACACAATTCACCAAAAGTAATGTAGGTCACACATCAGATCCTCAGATTTTGTGACCCAAATTACAGTGACCAACATTAGCATTTTCACTCTCGTCATTTACTAAAATGGAACATAGAGGCCATGGTTTCCTTTGCTGGCCATAAGTTTGGTTAAGTATGCGTTTGACTTATATTTTCTTAGTTTTAAATAAGTTATTTGCCTTATTATAACAGTTATTATCAGTACCGACCATTAAACAAAAACTTAAGGCTTACAAAACAGATTTTAAATAAAGACTTTCCGAATAGCCTAAACTGGAAAGCCTGGCATAACATCACGCCTAACCTACTTCACCCACAGTCAACAACGAACTGAGAGAGGCCGAAATATCGATCCGCCCGTAGTCGATAGGGTTGAAAGACCTGACCAGAACTGGTTCCGACCCTCAAACCCAGCATTACATTCACAGCCAGGGACGCGACTTTTAACAATTGTTATTGCCAGTATAATTTCAAAAAGCCTGTTTGGTAATTTTTGTCAATATTTTAACATTATAAATTAGTTCAAATCAAATATTTAAAATTTATTGCCTTAATATTGCTGAAAATATTTAAGCTTATGTATCCAACTTCTAACCTAGGGGACAGGGTTTTTTACTACCAAGAAAAAAAAGCAAGAAAGAGAGCTAATAAAAACAAGCCCATGGGGCGTAGCCCAAGGGAAATACCTACCCATTTTGGAACTTTTCAAACACACTTTTCTTTACTACATAGTATTAAAATCGAGAATCATAAACATTTTTATTCAAAGGAAGGTATAATAAATTATTTTAAAACTATTTCGAGCAGGAATAGATAGCGAAAGAGGTATAAATAGCTGGGGACAGCAATTGTCCTGTTTTCAAGTTTTTACCCACAGGGATCTCTCCTGACAAACAGACAAACGCTTAAGAGCTTTTTAGGTACTTATGTCTCTACAAGCCACTAGTTCCTTTTAAAAATTAATATACTTATAAGATTAACATGGACAACTTTACAGCCACTGGGGCGGAGCCCAAAAGGATTTTTGAAATAAGAATGTGTCGATATGTTAATCTGGAATGTGAGCTATCATCATACCAAATTTCAATCCAATCCGACCAGTAGTTAAAATGTGTGATTGAACTTCAAACAAACAAACACACAAACTTTCACATTTATAATATTAGTAAAATTATTTTCTACTTTTTAGTCTTTTAAATCTATTTTATATGGCCTGCTAATACATAACCAAAACCTTAATTATCTGTAATCAGATATTTGATGTTTACTTTGAATTGCTTGTTTTATATTTAGAATATCTCGGCAGTAGAACCTGTACCTCTTAACCTCTGCTCTTCGAACTGTCAAATTTAAGTAGGTAGGTACCGTATTTACAGCTGCCTTAAGTTAATTGATATAGGATAGGTATTTACATTCTTTCAAAATGTAAATATGGAAAATTTGGAAGCCCATTGGGCTTAGCCCAAGGGAAATATGAAAATAATATGATACAGTATTGCATTGTCATCCATTTGTAAGCTATGTTCCAAGTTTCAAGTCTCTAGCTCATCAGGAAGTTAGTTTAAAATTGATACCGGTATTAAAATTTGTACCGGACAAGATTATTGGACAAGCGAGCTAATAAAAACAAGACCATGGGGCGTAGCCCAAGGGAAATACATGAAAATTAAATGATATAACATTGCATTGTCCTCCATCTGTGAGCGATGTTTCAAGTTTCAAGTCTCTAGCTCATCGGGAAGTTACTATAAAATTGATTGCAAAATTTGTACCGGACAAGAAAGTGAGCTAATAAAAATTTTTTAAAATAATCAAGTTCGGTTAACAGAAAGTACTAAAACTAACTTGGCTGGTTTTTCTTGCTGATAATACTTGGCAAGTCGGACTACCGAGTATACATTGGATCACAAGTGTCGGATTATTGTGGGACAACTGTAGGCTGCCCTATATGGAAACATCTAGAATAACAATATTGATCTCGGCCTAAACTGAACCTGAAGAGTTATATCATAGACTAAGCAACACAAGTAGACTTCCCATCCCATTGTAAATTTTGAAGCAAGTTTTACATGTCAAGTTCACGTACGTTGACACTGATCGCTAGGACTATTGTAGACAAAATTTTGTTTCCATTATTTAAAGTTATTCTCATGATTTGTGCTTTAAGGTACTGTTTGGTTATATATTGTTTATGATTAGATTGTTTTATTTGGTTAAATGATGTTATAAATGACTGAAATAGCAAGAAAAAAATTGTAAAGAAAACACGACCTCTACAGTACAAAGTACAAAACTAACAATAAAATTGGCTTCTGCTGTTTCATAAGTATGACACAAATCTACTAAGGGAGTATGTTTTGGTTATATACAAACATACTGCCATAAAGAGTTTTAACTAAGGTCCTGTAAGTTAGGTACCTATAATAATTAATGCTCCAAAAAACGAAAACTAGGGTACCTAGACTTCCGTATCTGTTGGCACAAACAACCGAATGAAAATATTGATTAGGCTATTTCATTGTTTCATTCAATATATCATTTAGTCAGTTAGGTTAGGTTAACCTTACCTAACTAACCAAACGATATATCGAATAATTGATATATCGATCGATATTTTCATTCGGTTGTTTGTGCCAACAGATACGGAAGTCTACCCGAAAACTATATTATGACATATTAACTTAACCCCTATTATGGTAGGATGAGACACTTACCTTTATATTAGGTGATAGATCTCTATCGTAATCTATGTAATAAGTGACTTTGCCAGAAAGGAAATTTTGCCAAAAAGGACTCAAAGATGAAATGCAAAATAAGGATGACAAATTCATGTAAATAAGACTAAGCTAGTCAAAACATGTTATAGAAAATAGCTGGACAATTGTAAGGTAGATTGGTCTTGCATTTAGCTTTTTAAAATGCCATTATAAGGCAAATTAAAGGCCTAGTGCCAAGACTAATGATTTTAGGCCTAAAACAAAAGGGCTTAACCTAGGCTATAAGCTTACATCATGTCATTTGGTAGATTATTCTCTTTACGTCTTCAAGGATCACTGTTATAACATTCACATTCATTATTTACCAAATTCAACACTTATAACACATAACACTTTGCTTGTAGTCTATAAATAATTGTAAATTCGCCGGCATTGTTATTTACTATATTATAGATCTAGCTTTTATTTATTTGATTTGTTTTTCAGGGTTGATAAGAGAAGACAAAGATAAAAACCAGCTGACAAACAGTAGTGGCCAACACTACCACAATGTAACTCCTGACATTGAATAATGATTATACTCCCCAGTACGGTATATATATATAAATATATATATTATGTAAATCATACTACATGCAACTTATGATTATATTAATGCACTATGATTATATTTAACAATAATAGAGCAACAGAGTAAAGGTACTCCACTCATTTCATGCAACTACTGACTTTGAAAATGGTGGCCGTGCTTTGAACCCTATGGGATATTGTCCATAAAATCAAATAAGTATGCCTAGTTTACAATTAAATTTGGCAGCTAACTCCTAAACTAACGTTACCAATGTTAAATCCAAATTAGCTTTGACCTCAACAGCTTCTTCCCTATAGGGAAATTCGCTAAAACAGACTTCTTATACTTTAAAATAAGATGCGAAATCGCATCCCTATTTATTTATTAATCCTACCTATGTATTAATCCCTATATAGGGATTAATCCCTATAAGGATTAATAAATTAATCATATTATGGTCGTATTAAACACACCCCGTGTTATATTTTATCATTCTTTATAAAAAAAAGGGTTGCTGAAGACAAAATAAATTTAAGCTTATTGCTTTTTTTCAGTTTGAGTAGAGAGGGCGTGTCAATATATATATATATATATATGTTCTTGTTATTTCATAGCATTTTTTAACTAAAAGCAATAACATCATTTATTTATGAACTATAGTCTATTAGTCTGTCCTCTTGTACTCTGTTACTCTGTTAATCAAAGAGAAGAGAAGTATAAAAATCGTAAATTAGGCCTCTACCTTAAATTATGTAGATAAGTTAATCCATCAAAACAGGTGTCTGATTTTACAATAGAATTAATTCTAAGTCTAAAGCTAATATTTTTTGGTTGGGGCCACTTTCCCAAAAAAAGCATTTTTAATACTTTAATACTTTTCAATGAAATAGAATAGAACACACTACACACATTAACACACATTTACTGAAACTAGCAGTGTGTGCCAAAGATGAAACGCCACCTTCTCAATTATTTATTAATGAAAAATGGGTTGAAAAGGAATAAATATATTATGATAAATACATTATTGTAATATCTCAATTAAATAAATAGTGCTCTTTCCTCTTAATAAAACACCTTAATCATTCTATGAGGCTGTACTCTAGGTATAATCTTCTAGAATTAGACGACATCCTCTTCACTCACCACGTGGGGTCCATATTATGGACTTACTATGGCAAAGGCGAGGGAGGGAATCCAATGCACGTCTGCCGCTAATTCCACTTACGACTCCTACGTAAACACTTCCTGCGGTTAACTCACCAATTACGAGGTCTGAAGGTTAAACGGACCAGCTGAGGAATTAGAGAGCTTACACGGAGGCGGTAACTGAGCTGTCTAGTAAAATCCAGCCTCATTGTATTTTAATCAATGATGGACATTTAATATCAAGTGTTAATAAGGCAAATTCATATTAGGTCCATTTAGTTATAATCCGTCCCAGCAAACATTTAGCCTAATGTTATTGTTGATTTTTATTTTACAGGTTGATGATAAAAGGGAATTTATGTCTATTTAAATTTATGTCCAGTAAAAAAGCAATGTTCCAGTGAGATCTCAGGTCTCCTCCTGTTATGAGTATTATATTTCAAACGAATCTACAGTCTAATTTTATAAGTTGTGCTTGGATGATTAATCTATGAACAAGAATATTTTAAAGCATTTCACATATTATCTTTCTTAATCAACTAAAATATAACTGTAGGTCCCATCGATGTAGTCTAACTAGACTATATATATATATATATATAGAGAGAGAGAGAGAGAGATAGAGAGAGAGAGAGAGAGAGAGAGAGAGAGAGAGAGAGAGAGAGAGAGAGACAGAGAGAGAGAGAGAGAGAGAGAGAGAGAGAGAGAGAGAGAGACGATAGTCAAAATAGTCTAGTTAGACTATATACATCGTCACATCGATGTAATAGATCCTTTAACGATATTTTAAAAGAAGGCAACCCAATAACTTATTGTTGATTTTGTTGACCCCCCCCCAATTTTATTGATTAAATCTTATGTAAATTTAACCATAGATAAAACATACATGATTTAACCCAGTAGTAGCCTCGGTTGTTTGTCTTCGCGTATAAGTTTTTGAATAGAGGCGAGAGAACTAGACCTAACTTACTATTGACATTGCGTGATGCGGCACGCAGAAAACTGAAAAATGCTTTCGCATAGTTTGACAGTCCACCGAAATTGGATCGCTGGAGTTTCAAATTCGCTAAGAAGACTCCTATCATGTATACAACTCTGTAATGGCATTTACTACTCCCGAGTCCCGAAATGCTATCCAAATTTATTACGCTTAAATTATTTGAACTATGAGTATAACATCGAAGTGTGCATGTGCAAATCAACTATACCGTATTGTAATTTTAAACTCAGATCGAATAATGTCAATGCTGAAAAACTGACTGAACTAAATATTGTAAATATAATGTTTAGACCTAGGCCTACTAACAAATTTAGATAGGTACCGGTACGGTACAATTAAATTGTAGGTCTAATGCTTTTTAGCGAATTCCCCTAATGTGGAATACTGCATCTGTAACAGAGTAGTACCTCTTAGTCCATAAAAGAATTATAATATTTTATACTTTTCATTGAAATAGTGACCATACAAAGTAGGTATTTTAATCCAAGTATGAATCACAATAAATATTTGTGTGCAAATACCACGAATACTTGAACAGAACCGATATGGATCATATAACATAAACAAATGACGTTGATGGCCCAAATCCTATACTAAAAACATTAACTTATGGTTTAGCCAGTTACATTTGAGTAATGTTAAATAATGTTTTTTTTTTCAGCCCAAAAACCTCATTTGTTTAGTTTTATGATCCATACCACGACTGTTCAAGTGTTCGTGAAAAATACCTGATTAATTTAAAGACAACTATAAAATACACAATCTGTTATCCATATACAATTAATTGAATTTATTTAAATCGTTGAACGATATGTCTGTTAAGCAACGGCCGAAGCGGATATATTGACTATAGAACAAGCCTTTCATTAGCGAACGCATGATCTATGATCAATGGCCAAGACTTGATCTTCTTCCTTTTGCCTGTATACTTCTGTTATTGATGACAAAAATAGGTTAAGAGTTTGTTTGTTTTGTTTTGGGTTTCTTGTTCAAGTTTTATGAGTTTTGAATGTGAAGTGTGAGTTTTATGCTAAATAGTTTGGGCCTGTTGTAATCAAATAAGTTAAGTACAATCCAAATATTTATTTTATAAGAGTCTTTATGTGATGAAGTAAATTTAAATTATTTTATAATGAGTAGCAGTTCAGTAACGTTCCTAAACGTAAAAAACCTTCAGATGGATCTTAATTGTCCTTTTAAAATCCTAATCGAGTATGTAGTAGATAAAGAAGTAAGTGTTTCTACAAGTGACTGGATAGCACTCTTTCCTTTCGGGTGCAGTTTGTCGAGTTCCATAAATCTTGATTTGATGACCACTTTTGAATTCGCATCCTGTGTTCCTACAAGCACATCCGAAAGGTGTTTCAGAATCCTGTTTAGTTTAAAAGGGGCGAAAAACTTAAATTATGGCAATAAGTATAATTTTGTTTACATAAGTAGACACACTGAAGTTTATGGCATAAGTAAAGCCTTTGAATTCTGCCCCCCTATGAAAATAATCCCCGAAAGAAATAACATCAGCGAAGAGAGTGATGACTCAAGTAAGGAAAACTTTGATAACAACACTAGGCCTAAATCAAATGTAAAATTAAACATACCAAAACGTCCAACGCTGAAATCTGTAAACGAAGAAACTGAAAACGTCTCTCAAAACTCGAACCGTAGCGACTCTAGGCCCAATCAAAGCGGCAATAGGTTCATTGAAACATTTAATAAAAACAAACAGATTTTCGTTCAGAAAGAAATGGAGTCTGAAAGTAATAAACTTAATGGCATTCAACATCCACCACCTCCAATATCGTGTTCCAACTGTCATCGCGTGGCGAGTTTGCTGAAAGTCCAAGAGGAACTTTACCTGAAAGTTAAATACCTTGCAGAAGTGAATAAGGATCTTCAGGATAAAATTAGCCTTCTACAACAACAGCTGGAACTGAAACAGGCGGCATGCCGAAAACTATCTTTAACATTAACAAGAGATTGGCAAGCCAGGATGTTCAGCCAGAACAACGTAGCCTTCGATTCGTCCCAACAGTATCAAATCATGGTACTAGAGCCATTAGTCACATATGTGGTGCCTTCAAGATACCCTTATCTGGACAGACCTTGTGAAAAGGGAACTAAATCTGGATACTCGATAAGACTCAAAGCGATAATTGGCAACCAGGAGAAGAAGATTCTAAGATTAACTAAGGAAATTGAAGAGCTTAAGTTGAAAGACACTGAAAGATACGTGGTTGTTAGAGAAGTCAATGAAGATGAGATTCACCCAGAGTTACCTGCACCTCAATCAACAAATACGAAAATTGGAAAGGTTGAAGTTAAAGAAGAAGCATCGGAGTCTGATGGCGTAACGGAGTGAGACTTTTCAGAAAAGAACATTAAGTTATGCGTTTAGCATTACTGTATTTACATACGTTTTCTTAAGTGCCACAAATATATACTAAACTTAGGCCTAATGTAAACATATTTTCTTTTTTTGTTGTTGTCACTTTAACGTAATATTTTGTTGAATTTTGCTCTTCAAGCTCTTTAGCACCTAACTTAATTCTTGTCAGAATTGATTTTGTAATGTAGTTCTGTAAAATTTGATTAATGAAATATATGCATTAACTTAGCTGTCTGTAAACCACGTGTGTGTTATTTGCCAAAAATCCTTCTAGACAGTTTAAAAATAGGCCTATAAGCAATTAAGTTAATATAGATTAAAAATGTTTGTGTCTTTCCTTTAAGTAAATTACAACTACATTACACGTTGCTGCAATTTTTGTCGGAACGGTCCGAATATTGCCAGTTCGAACTTGATAAATCATTATTCTGCCCAACTGATAACAAGACCAGTCTTTCCTTCGGACCGTTCCACTACAAAATGTCTACAATAGGCTACGTGTATTGTTTTTATATTTTACAAAATACAGATACAATAGAAACCTTAATTAACTTAAGTAGTCAAATACAAGATAAGTAAAATACTAAGAAATAACCAAAATAAAAAAAACTCCTTTAACCTACCGGTCACTATAATGGGTCATTGCTTATTTGCTTTCAGCTGAATATGAACATCTAATTAATCTCTTTAACCAATGCCTTCATGTTGCTATTTACGCCTTCAATTACCAAATTCAATTATATAAAATGCAAACAATAGCCTAATATTGCAATCAATTTCAGTAGGCCTAGCCTAGATTATCGATAAAGTGTTCTAATTCAATGAGGTATGTTAACTTTAACCACGAACTGATTAATTTTTAGGTTATATATGTATAAATTCGATTATTTATACAGTATGTAGGTACTTGAAAATGGTTTCCTAAGAAACCCCGTCCACTGGGGAGTGGGGACTCTGGACTTAAACATATTTTTACTATTACCACAGGTCTACTAATTTAATCTACGTTATTGCCAGAAACTTCATACTCCCTGTGCCAATGCAACTTCCTTAGTGAGAGTTGCAGCCAAAGACATCGTTACACGTTTTCAGCTAAACATCATTGTTGACCCTGGATACTAGACTACTGTACCATCATCGTATTGCTGAATCTGAAGCCAGTTTTAATGAGCGTTTCTCATCGATCAGATTAGATTAGGTACGTGAGTGCGCTGATGATGACTGATGTTTTTATCTTACTTTAGACATAGATAAAACATACTCCTTTAGACTAGATTTTACAGTGGTACTGTTTGGTTATCCACGATCACATAAAACAAAACCAATATATGGAGCACGCCTATCTAACTACATTCAAGCAGTGAAGCCAGTTCCGCCATCTTACCGCAGGATAGAAGCGCATATGCCGATGAAAACGGCACAAAAACTCAATGTTCCGCTTCAAAATAACTTGACATTTAGCCTACTTAGACTATAAAGGTAAATCGTAGAAACTTCGTGTGAGAGATGTCAATAAGTCTAGGACGCTATTGGTTCTAATTAAAAGCTTAAGAGTTAATATTTTATATTTTAAATCTTCAAATAAAGTAGGTACATTTAAATGAGTTTAAAAACATGACATGAAAAAGTTCGTCGGCTGCTATTTTTTTTGCCAGGTAAGTAAAAAAACGGTGGATTTTGTAGCTAGAGTTGAATTTTTTGGATCATATGGCCGGCCGCACACTGATGCGACAAAACGTCTTTCGACAAAACGTTTTGTCGAAAGACGTCGGAAGGGAGTGGCCTACCATGCAGTTTAAATGGAGGCATCGCACGCTGATGCGACAGAGGCTTCAGACGCGTTGTTTTGTCTGAAGACGTTTTTGGGTGTTTTTGTGATCGCCTCCAATATTTCGTCTGAAGCCAAAACGCGATCAGACAAACAGTTCTGCGCATGCGCGGAGGGCGGATACAGTACAACTTATCTATTGTAATATATTGTAATATTTTTTATTACAGTTAGTAGTGCTGTAGTTCATTTTCGATTCATGCAGAAAATAATACAATGATATTTTAATTTTAAATATTTCAACTTATCTACATATTGTGATAATTTGTCTTACAGTTAGTAGTTGTTCATTTTCGATTCATGCAGAAAATAAAAAAAAAACATGTTATTTCAATTTTCAGCTTATTCCATATTTTGTAATAATTTTCTTTACAGTTAGTAGTCGTTCATTTTTTATTTATGCAGAAAATACAGAAAATGTATGCAACCTTCCTTCGTTTAGTTCTGCAAGTTGTATAAAGTTTCACAGCATAATTGCTACGTCCACTTCTTCATCCATTTTATTAACACCACACAATCTCTGGCTTTTCACAACACTGGTCTACGGGTGACTGAATTTAGTTTTCCCTCCTGTTTTTGTCTTTTGTCTGAGACCACCGCACACCTGCGACATTTTTGTTTTCCGACAAGACGTCTTCCGACAAAACGTTTTGTCAAAAGACGTTATGTCTGATCAGTGTGCGGCCGGCCTATAGCTGGTGTAGTTTGGTTGTACTGTAATTTAAATTGTACCATAGGGGCTACCCGCCGCGCCTGCGTTGTGTCATGCTGGCAGATTCCGTATACAACCTCACTTGTAAATCAGTTTAGACACTAATGTTTGGAGCTATACTGAAATGTTTCTAAACTAATTAGAAAAACACGGAGTACATATAAATGTTCTTCGTTTTATTCTTTGTATTCATCTAAAAAATAATATTTTTTTAGCTCTATCATTAAAATTAACATGACAGTCAGAATATAAAGGTGTAAGAATATAAAGGGTTTCAGAAACTATCTTGTGACTTAGAAAATCGTACGCCTTTGTAAAAAAAATTGAAAATTCGTGTGTCATTGTAGACCAAACACCAGAACTTAATCAAACTTAAATACGATATAGATACATACATTATAAATTAATTTGTAGCTATTCAGAATTTTTCTTTTGCCCAAAAAGTGATGTTGTCAATAATTATGTAAACTAGCTTTCCAAGAAACGGTAAACGCTAGTAAAAAAATTAAAAGCGTACAGTATTTTGAAGGTCATTGTGTTAGTAATAGAAATATTTATAATACAAAGGCGTATTGTCACGGATATCATTGATATCAACTAACATTTAATTAGTTGCGCGCGTTACTAGGGCTCATCACAGCCGGCAGCCGCCATCTTGGTGAAGATTAGTGAAAAATACTGGCTTCACGTTGTAGCCAACGTGTTCCATCTATTGGTCTTATGTGATCGTTGTTTTACTAGAGCACGAGCCAAGCAAAGGTTGAAATACTTGATATAGTTTTTTAACGCTAAAACGGGTTTAGGATATAAAAATAGTCATCACCAACGAAATATACATACCTGACTGAATGATTTTTCTTCGATGATTCACAAGGAGAATAGATCTATTACACTATTTCAGTACAGAGTTTCAGTTTGTACACCTTATCTGTTCTCTACGATTCTGAGTGAGAACAATGGAATAAAGCAAACAGTTACAGACAATAAACCATTTTATTTCATACTGTATACAATACATAATTACCTTAACAATAATATTTAATTTACTAAATTATTATTCGTGCATAACTGGATAGCTATATACACAGACTCAATACTTACATGAATATTGGGATATTAGTATTAGGAATAGTGCACTAGCTATGTAAAGTGCGTGTTGTGGGCTTTTTGTGGTTTATCATTAGCATTCTTTTGGTGTTAGAGCGGCTGTCGGATTTGTTACTAGCTATTTAGCTAATTTAAAGTAAATCCCAAATTAAAGTTTTACATTTTGAACGTTTGAAAAACTGGTTTCAAACTTTATATCACATGAAGTACCGTCTAAATAAAATTTGTTTAAGACCCTTTCTGTGCTTGACCCTGCCTTTAAGATTCAGTAGAATAAACATACTCATATTATTAAAGTTGAAATTTCTTTAAAAAGTATCTCCATATCGTGATGTATAAACGTTTGGCTTGTAAAGCAGCATTGCTCCACAATTAATACTAAACTGCTAAGCGGTAATGTAGGCTTTATGTCCTCATACATTTAATGCACGCCCATATATTATGTATTTAAATGGTTTTGTGACGCCACATGAGAATAGCTAGTTAGCCTGTTTGTACATCTTCAAACCATAATATGCAATTAGTAAATTTAAAATTTTATTTTGAATTTAAGCCTGCAAATAATTAGAAATTGTCTGGGATCCTCTAATTAAACTTTTAACGATTAATTACATGAATGTTAGACACGTAACTTATATAGTACAGCATAATTACATGAGTACATTACAATATTTTAAAATACGTAATATTTAAGAAATATATTTGATGGATAACCCAATCAAGAATTAAACATTTGCTCTGTCCAAAACTGTATACTTGATTCTAATAATTCGTCACAAGCCTGAAACGATAAATTACCATACACATGCAAAGCATTCCTCCCCGTACAATATGTGACACATCACAAACAAGTTTGAAGACTCACAGGACTTACACGTTAGAATAAACTATCATAAAAATAACACAAGGCCAAGCCTATAGCAAGCAGGGAATCTACAGCGGGACGGATGGAAGGGCGTGAGTGTGAGACAGAATACTGTATTGCAGTGTGGGGAAGTGAGACAGATGTACGACAGATAGGCCTACAACTACGGGGCGTTACCACTTGTACGACAAGCTATTTGGTCGTCAAGCCAGTTGACCGACTGACGGTCAAGTGTCCAAGAGAAAACTATCTTGACAGTCAAGTGGTTTCTCAGCATTCATCTTACTTTACGTGAAAATAAATCGCGATTGCTCAACAAATGTCGACAAAATAGTTTGTCTTATTTCTATCGATCTATTTAATTAGACTAGTAACGACAGTTAACTGGCTTGATGACCAAGTTGTTTTTCGATCAAATGGTAGACACCGTACAACTACATGTAACATACAAATATCAACAAATCTTCAAAAAGTTATATCCTTATCTGTTTATAGTGGTGAACCGTTGAAACTATACGTGGAAGTCAATCAATTTTCTACCACTAATAATCAATTTGGGTGAAAATGTCGCAATTCACCACTACAACAGCTCAGTCAACGAGAATAGACATAAGTTCAAGCTACATCACAAGATGCGATCCACACGTAGATTTTAAAAGGCCACAATCAGATCAAAACTCTCATTGAAATCTTATTTACAAACTTCACCCCGAGGAGTTACTCCGTAGAATTTAAATTGATAACAAGTCAAGGCAAACGAGGCGATTGCTTCTATCGGCAACAACTCAACAAGCCGTTCAATGTCAACAATGAGTACATGTAGATGGAGGTACAGGTAGCGATGGGAAGGGATGATATGGTGGGAACTAAGGGGGTTTATGTCAAGTTAAAGAAATTAAAGTACATTCGTAGCTGACAAGCGAACGCAGGTCTTTCTGCAAAAAATATCTCAAAGAAATATTATTCACAGGATGATCTCGAAACGTATTGTTCTCTCCGACCAATTTTAGACTCTACAATGCCGAAAAGAAACAGACTATAAATTTTCACTTAATTTAAAAACGATCGCATTTCAAAGTAGCATTTAATTTAATTGTTATTTCATTGATTCATGTTTTAAGTAAATTTAAGTTTTTGAGTAAATCAGAGAGTTTAAAAAATTTCAGCTCTTGGCATAGTTTTCTCTTATTAGTAACTATAGAAAATATCTACATTCCCATCTAGCTATGGTTCAAAAGCACTTTTTGAGCGATTGATTTTTTTGTCCTTAGGTACTTTTATAATAAAGGATTCCAATTCAAATTCCAATAAGTTTGGTTTGGAGGTAACACACATTTGAATGTGTTTTATATAGGCATGCAAGATAAGGAAATGCCGCAACACCTGATGCATTCGTACATACAGTAGGCCTACCATAGATGAAAAGAATGAAATATAGACCGTCAGCCGTGCTGCGATTAGCATAGGTTCTGGCGTCCACCGCTAGGAGTGCCGTGTAGTTACGTAGCGCGTACGCCGTGACTACATGGCGCTCCCAGCGGTGGACGCCAGAACCTATGTTTATCGCAGCATGGCTGACGGTCTACAATATTTCTTTCTTTTTTCTAGTACTTACTTCGAGTACCTAATGTATTTTGATAATCATTACGTCGGGATCATCTTGTTCGAGACAAACTACAAACGGCTATTTTGCAAGCAAACTACAGGAATCGCAGCAAATCAACTGTTTAACTCTCAAACACATCGGCTTGGTGGCGAGGTTAGAGAGGAAACCGCACAACCAGACTTGGGAGGATTGACAACAAACACGAAGACAAGATGCGATGGCTGTATCCTCCTTCTTCACAAGGCGGGACCCTGATCTGTCTTGATCGTTTGATTTTCCTATCTTCCAACTCTTTTAGAGTCTCGTCTATCAGTTCCGGCGGCATCGTACCACTCTTAGAGAACGCAACCGTATTCAAAACGCGGTAATTTTTAGAGCAATAGCTCAAGAACATGTAGTCATCGTCCATTTTAAAAACGCGGAAAATCCCTCCGTACTGTTTGTAGTTGTCACCTGCCAGCGACCCTTCAACAGAAAAATGCATTAGGTTCATATAGTTGTAAAGGCTTCTTGGAATGCTGGTCACAGTTAGGTACATATATACAGTTGCAGTCATGTACATTGTTCGAAGTGCTGTGCAAGGATTGTGCGTAAAGCGTAAGCTGAGGTAACTAAACACATAAGCTCTCTCTTTGTAAAGGCACAAACGTGATTGAAGTAAATGCGTGAACGCCGCTAAGCTTGGGAACATCTTTTGCTTGAGGGAGGAATGTTTTTGCAACGTAAATGTTTTAATGGATTTTGATCTATATACGATATTGATACATTTTCTCTACTTCTAAACTTAAACAATTTTACGATCCGTAATTGGTAAATCTTTAAGAATTCAGAGACTCATTTCAATTTGCTATCTGCAGGTCGATAGTCAATGGAACTACACTAAATGGTATTGGCTTTTCTAATAGCCTCAAATAATTGAATCTCTAAAGAAATCACGTGCAAGGGTATCTGAGAAGATTCTACCATGAGGCGCATAGGTAAAATCATCAACGTTCACACTCAGTGTATCTTCAAGTTCAAAGCGAACTTCCAGCCGATTCTTTCAACGCGTCAACATCTGGGGCACATCTGTGTGTCTTTACATAGGAAGAGCTACAATCATAACGTTTGATCAATTGTCTAAATCCGTAACAGTAATATAAGGGAGGCGGTCGCAAGTAAAACGTTGATGGAGTGACCCAACAACGCTCCAGCGCTACACATTGGCTTCCTCTCATAGGCTGGGGATTTGTTCAGCTGAGCCAGCTGTAGGTTTGCCCCACTCAGTACATCAGCTGATCTAGTGTTTTGGCGGGAGAGGATAACAGAGCTGTGAATAGAGGTGGAGCAGAGTCGGACAATCATGTATTTGTCCTTTTCTAAAGTCAGGATCGATGCCTGGGAACTCTTCAGTTGTTGAGCTGGATTGGAAGAACCTAGATGAAATCAGCCACATTTATATATTCTTCTTTGTAACATCCAAACAACGCTACTTAAAAATAAATTCTATGGTACTCTACATATTGACATAGACTACGATATTGATTAGTTAGAGGGTGGGATGTTCTGTTATTTAACCGTAGTTATAGCGTAAAGCAGCGGCTACACTTGCCCGATTCGGTCCGGTTCGGTCCGGTCCTCAAAAATGCAGAACAATGCTTCCCATGTTTTTAAATGGAGGTGGCTACACATCGCCGTTTCATAGCCTCTAGATCACTTAGTACCTAGATAAAAGAATGCCCTATCTTGAGTACTGTCTGTCGTTTTAGCGTCGCTTTTGTAATGAAAACAGTGTCAAATGAAAATGTTCACAGTGGTTATTCACATTGGATTCATCGGGTATTCAACTAGGAAATGGCACTATGGATCAAAAAATATTTTTAATAAGCAAAACTCAGTGAGGAAGTACTCCAGGTAATTGTACATTGTTAATAAATGAAAATCCTTACCAATTTACTCACTAATCCATCAATAAACGTATTTTTTTATGACAACAGAACGCATTGTGATGAATATGATACACGGTCCTTAATGGTACCTACGTACCACGCGTATTTACGTAGGGGAGCGAGCTGGTCTAGTGGTTAGAGCTCGTGCTCCTGGGGTCCCGGTATCAAACCCCGCCAAATCACCAATGGATTTTATCTCAGTGATATTGCCGTAACCCCTAGGTCTAGCCTGAAGTAATGTGAAAAACAATTCCAAGCTCGTTCCTAGCGTTCTAGAAAAAAATGGTACCTACGTGCACACCAAGTTTCATTTCAGACATTTGAAACTTTTATTTTTTTTAACTTTTAACCTTTTCTATATTATGCAGATGGAGATAGTTTGAATCTAATTGTCATACGAAATGTTACTTAATTAAGTCCGTATGAACTGTATAATATTCCAAATACTAAGTATTATGTATTCACAAACTTCCGGTTATTCAAGTAAAATACTTTCCATTTCTCCAATTCATTTCATCTCGGTTATTTTTAGGTTTGTATACTTTTAACAGTAGGCCTAATCAATCACAGTATTAAGGACCAGCTTGCTTTACACGTAATCGCCTGTGGCATTTAACATCGTGACCTTTACAACGTAAACTGGGCCAAGCCGTGTTTTGCGTCTCGTGTTACCGATATCAATTGCTGTGAATTGTGGGAAAAAGTTTTATAAGCAATTAAGTCCACAATGGTAAACAAAGAGGGCGATTTATTTTTCTGGTGATTTACGGTTATTGGTTACAAATACAATTACTTGAGGCATGAGAAGACTATATGCGTTGAAAAGCTAGACAATTTAATAAAATCATTTTATTTACATTTTGGCTTATTTGTTTAAAAAAAATTATAACATTTTCGCACTATAAAAACAACACATTTACCAATAGTCTTATAATACTTAATCACTTATATTCTGTTTGCACTACGAGTGCATTGAATAAGTTGTCTTCTAGACGACGGATTGAGAGAGCCATTTGTTTTTGTTCACGATTGACTAGGGGATCGGCGTAGATATCACATTTATTTGATCTTTTGACATTTTATTTTAATTTTAACTTAGTGACTAAGCCATTTACACACTGTGCCACTGTAGGAGAAGGACATTTTAGTTATGAAAACTATGATGTTGTTTATATATAAAATAGTATATTTCACTCTAAAGTGAGTATTTTAGAAAAAAGACCAAGTTTATCGGCTGAGGGTAAGCCGAGGTAAGGAAAATGAGCTATGGTCGGACTTTCGGTTTCGTGTGAGTAACAATCAAATAAGTTAAATAATTCACAAAAATTTAAACATTATTTACGTTTGTAAATTAGCTCCCAAAATGGTTTCTTTCTTGTTTTGATTTTATCAACCAACATATGTTACTGCCAATTAGAAACCATATGTATCATTCTGCCAATACAAGACCTTTAAGAGGAATGAACTACTGGGTAATAGCTATTTACCTTACAAGTGTAGTAAGAGCGTTTTTACATCACGCAGGTGAATGTTGTGCAACGAGCGGAAGCGAGTTGCATAATTTACCGAAGTGATGTAAACACGCTCTTGCGTAACGTGTAACGTTCAAGATTTTACCTGACCCGACAATATACAGGAGGTTACGAACAATATTTTTCATTATCCATTTCACTCATCTTCTAACAGTAACGTTCATTTACAAACAAAAGCTAGGTTAGGAAAATTCTTCAAAACATAACAATAAAATTCAAGCGCACAGCTGATTTCTAGCGTTGAACGTCGTTGGCTCCATAGAGGTATGTTTTTTAAGTTAAGCACTCAATGTTATTTAAATGGGTTTCATTACATCACCGAGTGAGTTTTTTTCAACTTTACATCACTCGAGAAGTAACGAAGTTATATACATCACGCTTGGGATAGGGAAGTTTAACATGGCGGGTTAGGTAAACTATTGAAATTCTTTTGCACATAGGCTACATTTATCTTAACATTGATAAAGATTTATATATTTACAGTGTTCACGATACTGTATCATTTTTTGTCAATAAGGACCATTTTCTTCAGTGAAACCAGCGGACCAATTTTAAAGCTCTAAAACATACAGCTGATGTCATCGGCTGTATCATGTTAATTATTTTTTGGCATAGAGAAAAAGAGCTGCTGCAACCCTGTTTTAAAACAGTCGTTTTCGCTGTGATGACGAAAAATATTTCAGCGAGAACGTTTAAGATTCCATAGGACATTCTTTTACTCGTTGGGCTTTCAGTTTTGCTTTGGCTTAAAATAAAATGTTTGGTGTAAAAACCCAGAACGTAAACTAGTGAAAATTAGATGATCTAATACAGTAGTAGCAGCACACCGTGTCAGAGGCTGCATTCAACGACATACCGTGTTATAAAAAACTGGTACAGCTCCGACTTAGATATTTTATTCAACCTAACTTAACACTTTCTCTTTGATCACGAAATGTTCAGCTACCAACCTTTCTGATCACTGATAGATTGCCACTGTCCCCTCCCCTTCTGCTGGAATCTGTACTCCAGGTCGCCCTCTGTGGAGTTCCACATCATCACCAGCGTCTTCTTTGGTCCTTTCGTGAGGGTGACCGCCGGGCAATTGGTGTCCAAAGGTACTCCGTAGATCTTGGAGTCGTTGCGGTGGATCACTATCTCGATTGGATACCACGTTCCTTCCATCTGAAAACTGACTGTTTAGAAATTTGGAATTCAGTCGATTGATCCGCTGTAAACCAAATACTCCCGATTCAGTGAGGACGGATACACTTCCATATCTGTTGGCACAAACAACCGAATGAGTATTATTGATTATTCGATTGTTTAATTCGATATATCGTTTGGTTAGTTAGGTTAGGGTAACCTTGCCTAACTAACCAAACGATATATTGAATAATCGATATATCGATCGATATTAGGCCTACTCATTCGGTTGTTTGTACCAACAGATATGAAGGTGTACCCAGTCCTCTTTTTGCCGCTGGGGATCTCAAACCGTATTTCGTTTTGATTACATTTCAAGGATATATAGTTTAAAAATATGCATAAAACGAATTATACATTAGCACTTTGATATAGGTAGCTAATACAAACAAACCTATGTTTGTGTTTGATTGTATTTTTTTTTTAATAGTGAAATTTTTCCAATACAGTATTAACAACTTTCGAAATATGGTCAAAATAGTAAGAAAACTATTTTTTAATTTATTCATTATGATAGCCTCCTGAATTTGTTTTATTTCAAGAATAATCTAAATTACTAAAACCTAGCCGTCCACCTTTAAAATTCAGTCAGTATACGTATATGACAATTTAAATTTCGGAGTTAGTATCTCAATCATCAGGTCTAGGTATAAAAATTAATCAGTCGGAGTCTATCGCTGGCCGGCACAGCACATGTTTAAGCCTTTTAGGCCTACGTTTTATATTTTTACTAGCAGAGTACCCGTCCTTCGTACGGGGTTGGCATATAAGTATAAATGCTTATTGTAGTTATGGGAGAGAACACGGTTTAAGAAAATTTGGTCTTTTAATTTATACGGTATCCTATAATGTCCTACAGTATCTACCATAGCCCTAATTTTCTACCACATATCTCTAATTCATATTAGATACTAAACAAATCAATCTCGTTGGTGCAATTAGTAGCGCCATTGAACAGCAACTGCAAATCAGTGCTACTATTCGTAATTGCTAGCAGCTATACCCGTGCCTTGCAACGGGGTCAAAAAAGAGACAATGTTGGTTCTTAGAAACATGCCAAATGGTTTTCCAAATGCCAAATTTAGAAACAAAATTTAACTGTCCTACTTAACTTGATAATAGTACGTTTTTGTTAACTCATACTGTGAATACTTATTTATGCTATCTACGATACTAAACCAATGATAGATTTTAAGGTATAATAAAAGAATGTATTTCATGGTTTGCACTGTAAACGAAAAGCTATCACATAGTTCCAAACCGAAAAATAGGAAAATAGAAATAAATATGGAAAGTAAGAGTAATTTTATAACATATTTTAGTGAAATTTTAATCAGGCAAATGGAAATTCGCTTAGTCTATAGATTTGCTGCGGCGGGGGTTATTACTGTTTACACAAAAAAAAAATAAAAAAAACCTGATCAACCTCATTGATACGGCAATGATTATAGAATCTTAATTATTCCCTATATCCATGAACGATTTTTTTTACAACGAATTATTTCCTGTAAAATATTATTACAGCATTTCACAAATATTAGAACAGACTCAGTATAATAGATCATAAACAAAACAAATGAAGTAACTGAAAGAATCATATACTAATGAAATTCAAATTACATTAACATATGGTTTGACAGCTCCATTTAAGTAATGTTAAATAATGTTTACATTCGGGCTAGTGACATCATTATTTTAAATTTATAATCCTTACCCTCTCTGTTCTAATATTCGTGCAGTATTTAATATGTTTGAACCAGCTGTGTGGAATTATGAAATCAAAATTCATTTGACAGTTAGTTCTGCTTGTTTACATTTTTAAACTTTGTAGGTTTGTTCTTTGTTACCATGGATACCATCAATCAATATTTACTTTTAAATCTTTCACCTCAAATATTTGAAAGCCCACGGGGCAGAACCCTAGGACAATATCGAAGCGGGAATAGTTCTATATGTATCCTCGGAGCTGTAGATTCATTTGTGTGCAATTTGAGCCCAGTCGGTTCAGTAGTTTTTGAGATTACCTCATACAAACACACACACACACACAGACACCACCTCTTCTTTATAATAGTACTAGCAGAGTACCCGTCCTTCGTACGGGGTTGGCATATAAGTATCAAATGCTTATAGCAGTTATGAGTGAGGACATGGTTTAAGAAATTTCGGTTCTTTTTGAAGTTCGTTCGCTACGCTCACTCACCTTTAGGTTGGAGCTCGTTCGCTGCGCTCACTTTCCTTCAGGTTAGCTCGTTCGCTACGCTCACTTGCCTTCAGGTTAGCTCGTTCGCTACGCTCACTCGCCTCCAGGTTGAAGTTCGTTCGCTACGCTCACTCACCTTTTGCTGTTGTCATAAATGTAAAAGAAATAATAGTGCTAGTGCTGAACCCTGTTGGTAATCCTTGTAACTTTTAATGCTATTGAACATCATAGAACAGAACCAACTTGTTTAATTGAAACAGCTGTTAAGATTCATTAATTCCATTTCTCATAAGGTTAACATGGGAAACTCCAGAGCCACTGGGGCGGAGCCCCGAAGGATTTTTTGGGATAAAAATATGCCTATATGTTAATCGGGAATGTGAGCTATCATCATGCCAAATTTCAGCCCGATCCGACCAGTAGTTTTTGAGATTAGCTCATACAAACACACACACAGACACCACCTCTTCTTTATAATAGTATAGATAGATTTTCACTCTAAACAATATTGTAAATCGCCCATTTCTGTAAAGTTTTCGGTACAATAGTCATTGCAACTTTTGTGATTTTACCCATTAAGTATCATAGCTACTCCCGCCGCTTACCCATGATAAGTTTTGTTGTAAGTTATAGAGAAGGTATTGTGTTAGATTGCTGTTACCATTTATTAATCAAATGAGTTACAATAATTTGCAGAAATATGTTTTATTAGTTTAACATGTTATTAGGGAGATGTCTCGATTTCAAACGTTTAATTGGAACGTGTAGTTTTTGTATAAATCACAGTTAAATTTTTTCATCGAATGCAGATATGTAGTAAAATGTAGCCTAATGTATTCAGCTCTCTGCATTGGAATATGAGAACAATTCCTGACTAGACAATTTTGAAAAACCATTGTAAAATACTAATTCCTTCCTTCCATCAAAGCCAATAATAGGAAGAGTTAAAAAATCCATTTTCACAGGCACTAATTATTATCTAGTTTTTACAGATTTTACTATCAATATATCCTTTTTATAACTGATATAGGTACCGAATTAGCAGACTGGTAATCCAAATAATTCAACCACTTATTTAATGCATCTACAGTTTCTAGAAAAATTTAGTTCTGAGCAACAATCTTCATATATTATTTTACTGTAAAGTAATATAAACTTAGCTCTAATTATCTCGAGCGAGTGTTTACAGTTAATTAGTGGAGTGGGCTGACAGACAAAGAAGTATCATGCCATATTACAACCGTGTTTGGCTCAGCTGATTTGGTTTATGCAGTTAAAGTTTTCCCTAAAAGTCGAAGAATTTTTCTTCAAATGTAATAAGCTGTCATTATAATATTTGCTGAACAAACTTAATTAAAACACAACACACTTTTCCAGTTTCATTTAGTTTTCACGTGGAAAAGGTTTAATTTATACACAAATATAAAAGCGAAACTTCAATCTAAGAAATGAAACACTATAGAGTTTTTATAATATTGTTAAATTTTATATTTTGTCAATTTTATATTTTTAGTTTGAAAGCAATGTAATGTATCCAAGTTAAAATTGTGAAACTCTTTTGGTTGTTACCTACCTCATTGGCTATAGTACAAAATGAATATACTAGGTAATAAACGTATCTATTATTGTGTGAGGCGTAATTAAGTTCTATTGTAATTAGTGTATTTTAAACTATACGCAATACATACGTCGTCAGCTTTGTACAATACATCGTTGTTGTAATCCACGCAGTTTTGTGTATCAGCCTTTGTGCAGGATAACAGACAAAGGGAAACGCTGAGGACTGCTGCTGCTTTCAACGAGGACATGTCTGCTGATGTCCAACGTGACAGCGAGTGAGTCTGCAACAATGAAATGCTGAGGTAAGACAAAGGAACATAAATACTGATCTTGTTTATGACGTCGTAGAAATACCCAATCATTACTCAGCATTCTTGAATTTCAACCCATATATCGGTTCAATTTGTACTTAAATTTACGTAAAAATGGTATATTATTGATGCAAGTTTTTTGCAATGTGATAAAAATATAAGTATGTAACTATCAAATTTTGGTACCATAATTTATCATTGAATTGAAAAGTAATTAAGTTTTGTAGTAAGGAAAGCAACACGTTGAGGTTAAATAATTAGTATGATCCAATGAGGAGGAATCTTAAACAAATGGACAAATATGAAAATCAATAGGAAGAACTGGGTTAAATAAAATGAGGTAGTGTACAAGGTGACTGCGAACCCTTTAGAAAATCAATTGGTAGGGTATCAAGGGATCTCCCCTAAGTATAGGTAGTTCATTATGCAAAACTGTATGCAAATTATTAACTCGCCTGCCAAAGGGATGAACGGTATCGATACTTTGCAAGCCAACCAAGCCTCTCTGGCTGTGGTAGTTTGAGGGGAAATATCTGTGTCATCTGTACCAGAGATTAAAGCCTAAATTTTTTAAAGACTGAAATATTTAAAAAAAGTTTTACGAACAAATGAAACATAATAGTATGATTCCTTATGTAGACCACGTCCACTCGACAATGCAATAATTCTGTATTTCTTTTCCCTTCCATCTATATAAATACAGTATAATTAGAACAAGTAGAGCTTACAAATTAGAGTCTATTTTTATTAGGGAGACTTTCAAAATACGTCGTTTTCAAGGATAAATATCTAGCTTTAAATAGGTTATACAGTACAAATTAAGGTGACATTTTATTTTCGAAAAGGCATAAGAACAGATAACGTACTTACTATCAAAGCAGTTTTTGGTGACCGAGAAATGAGCATAAAACTCGTCATCTAAAACTGTAGCACTGTAATAGTGTATATTGTATCCCTACTGTGTCCACATTGATTCACATACTAACATCACAAGGTACCCCGCTGGTACAGGATATACGGTTATACTGTACTATACTGAGAAGGTCGACCGAAATCAGAGCAAATTTATTGTTGACCTACATAGTCAGTTTATTGGATTATGCAAATGTTACCTAGTTGTCCATCTCTTTCTTCATGCGTAAAAAGAGAAGTAAGAAGTAAAGACTCGATACAAGCTTCTATTTTAGAAAGCGTATACAAGAAAATTCAAAAGCTCATTGTTTCAATTATAAGAATAATTCTAAAACGTTAGTGATGTGTAATCGAAACCAAAAATATTTTAAATGGGAGTACTTGTACTGATTTAGCAGGAACACGATCATTCATATGCATTTAATGCTTGCATAGCATTTGATAAATGAAGTACATATAGACCTACACCATATACAGTAAGGCTTTCTCAAATAGTATTGTCACATAACACAACACATAAAATAACATTTTGAGAAGTAGAAAAAAATATTTCCTCATCGACAGGTAATCTTAATATCTGTTGTTTATTTCCCCTTTTTATGTACACCAAATATCTTCAAGGAATAAGTAATTTAAATAAAAAAATAACTATTTTCATCACAATAGATGAAAGGAACCGTATTGTAACATACACACTAATTTAGCTCATATTCATTTCCCGCTTAAAAAAAAAAAAAAAAACTGAATAAAAACGAACTATTACTATTGGCTGGTTTGTGATACTTGATAAAATGTTTAAGAACAAAATTGGGATTGTGTGGAAGAGTAGGCTCATTAGATATTTCAAGTTGAAAAGTATTCGGGAATACGTGTTATGTTGAGTCTCTAAAATGATAGTGTGCATTTTCCGATGAATGCTATTACAAAGCAACAAACAGTTTCCTAATGTATGACAATTAAAATCGTATATTTTATGAAAACTCAAGGTAGAATTTTTTTGCCATGGTATCTTACATTAACGCAGTTGTTTACCTATCTCTACTCAACCAAAACACCTTCAGGCGCGTCACGTTTTCCACACATTAGCACTTCATTAACAGAGCCAGTAAATAAATGATTTGATGTTGTTTGCTAATAGGATGAACTTTAAACATTAAACTATGTGATATCCAGTGTTACCTAAATTAAACCTATAATCTTCTGGATCGGAAAAAGATTATGAGTTTATCTAGTTAAAATCCCCAACCCATTAAAATTAATTTTTATACCGGTGAATGGGTTAGCACGGTGCAGATTGAAATTAAAGATTTGATGGTTTTACATTAAGCAAAGTACCCGTCTTTAATGGAGGATTAATGCTTCTGAGACACTCAATGCTGATTACATTTTCAAAGATAATGTTTAAGTGTTGGCAATAAAAGAAATAAAAGGTTAGTGAAATAGCAAGATATTTTCTCCAAGCTTTTAAAATGCTCATGTTAAATTAGGCTACTAAGTATAGTGTTATTTCGGCTTTAAAATGACACTGATAAATAAAATTACGCTGTCTAGTAATATGTATTACTAGCAGAGTACCCGTCCTTCGTACGGCATACAAGTATAAATTGCTAAGTTTGTTGTTGTTGTTTAGTTCAAATTAGCTGTTTCCGTTTCCATAAATGCAAAAAAAGCGATAGTGCTACACCCTGTTGGTAAATCTTATAACTTTTAATGCTTTTTCATACTATAGAACCAACTTTTAAGTTAAAACAGCTGACTAAATTCTTTTATTCCCTTTAAATATGAATACTCATAAGGTTAACATGGGGAACCACAGAGCCACTGGGGCGGAGCCAGAAAGGATTTTTGGGATAAGAATATGCCTATATGTTAATCGGGAATGTTAGCTATAATCATGCCAAATTTCAGCCCAATCCGTCCAGTAGTTAATGCGTGATTGAACTTCAAACAAACACACAAACTTTTACATTTATAATATTAGTAAGATTATTTCTTGTTTTATTTTGATAGTTTTGTGAAACATGATTTATCATCAGAAAACTTGAAGCTAATTTAATTTTAATGTTTAGTAATCAGGTTAACTTGTAAATGGCGTATTCTTAATATCATTTAATTTGTATTCTTGAAAAGTATACGTTTCTCACACCATCACAGGCAATATATTTTCATTTATAGCCTACTAAAACGTGAATAAAATTGATTTTTATCCTTAAAAATAGTATATTTCGTACCTAGGGCCGAAAATGAGGTTTTGCCGGATCGAGATAGTTTTTAAGTTCGAGACGAAGTCGAGGAGCTGCAAAACCATTTTGGTCCGTGGTACGAACGCTATTTTTCACCACACTATTACCACTATTACCACTATTCACCACAATAATAATGTACACAGGCAACACAACTACAACTTTAAGGTTATGTGAAGAAATAAATTGAGGAATCAGCAAAAATAATAATAAATATTTGCTAGGCAACGGTGACAATAAAACAATTCTATTGCAATGCTTTGTATACTGATTGTGTATTTAATATGCATTAATGTTTTAAGAAAGTTGAGCGGACAGCTGATTTTGCGGCCCTAGGGATGTAAAAACCTGCTCGGTCCCCAAATGACGATGACAGCTGGCATGGCCAGCAAAACACAACTTTCAGCCACCAATTAACGTATGTAAAACAGCCAAAAAACATCATAGGGGCAGCCCCAAATTTTCAAATGTAAACACCTATCATGTGACCCTTCTTTTTAAAGGGTTTATCAAGAGAAATTGAATTGCGCAAACCAGAGGTCAATATCGCACCCCTAATCAAAATGGCAGACATTTTAATTATTTAAGATGAGCAAGCAAGATAGTGTGGACACCCCCAGTTAACTTTAAAAATTTAATATTTTAATACCGACCAAAAGGTGAATTCTCTTTTTTTATAAAGGTATGCTGAGTTTAGTTTTCCTGCTATAACCTGTCAAAAAGTTAATAGGGGATATTTCAAAATGACTGCCATTTTGATATGGGGTGCGATATTGACCTCTAGTTTGCGCCATTTAATTTGTCTTTGTAAAACACTTCAAAATGAGGGGTCACATGATAGGTGTTAACATTAGAAAATTTGGGAATGCTCCCAAAATACCCCATTTTGGGGGCCGGGTACAAGTTCTAACTTTAAAGAAGAAGTGCATTTTTGTATGTTGTAAACATTTTGGTTTTCCCACTGCCACACGTTATAAGTTAACTGGTGGTGTCCAGACTTTATTTTGCTTGCACATCTTAAATTAAAATGGCTGCCATTTTGATTAGGGGTGCGATATTGACCTATGATTTGCGCATTCAATTTATTTTGATAAACAATTTAAAATGAGGGGTCACATGCCAGGTGTTTACATTTAAAAATTTAGGGCTACGCCCAAAATAACCCACTTTGGGGGCTGGGGCAAAGTTTTAATTAATATGATAAAGTGAAATTTATTATGTTGTAAATATGTGCCGAGTTTGGTTTTTCTACTGCAACGCGTTAAAAAGTTAACTGGGGGGTTCCAGACTTTTGCCTAACCCTATATATCAAGTTCATAGTTTAACTCTTACGTTTATAATATTTTACACCAGTTGTTACAGAGGATGGGGACAAAGTTTTAATTAATATGATAAAGTGCTATTTATTATGTTGTAAATATGTGCCGAGTTTGGTTTTTCTACTGCAACGCGTTAAAAAGTTAACTGGGGGGTTCCAGACTTTTGCCTAACCCTGTATATCAAGTTCATAGTTTAACTCTTACGTTTATAATATTTTATACCAGTTGTTACAGAGGATGGGGACGAGTTTCAAATAACAATGATTGACTTACTGGATTACTGTTATTGAGAACGCTCCTAGATAATTGTATTAAAAATGTTCTATCATTCGTTTTTAGAAAATGTTATATTTCAGCTTTAAAAAAAAGATTTTTTTAATACACGTTACGATAAAAGTAAAATTTAAAATAAAAAGACCTATTGGTGTATTCCATTCTTAATACTACTATATAAGTTGTATAACAATTATCATATTACTACTATACATGATCATATTAAATGCAATATTCTCGCAAAACGCTCGTAAAGCTTAAAACTATAAAGTGTTGATACAGTTTTGAAGCCTCTTCGTAGATATATAGAAATATTTAAACCAATAGTAGAACCACATAGTCTCAAATTTCAGTAATAATCAAGTTTTTAAACTTATTTTTATCAAGTAAATATTTGAATGCGTTAGCAGTTTTGACTAAGTTTTTAAATATCAACTTCATATATTTTTAGAGGGTACGTTTTAAGGACCCTACTTATTACTTATGGTCCGCATAAAGGTAAATGCTTTTTATAAATAATTACCAAAAGATATTGACCTAAACATACTTATAGCTCAAAACTTATTACGGTATATTGAAGCATCAAATAAAAAAATACAATACAATATACTTATATTCATACATTTTATTTTTACAACACCAACAAAACACATAATATAGAAATTAAATAAAACTAACTTACCGTTTCAAATTTGTTTAACTTAACACAAATCTAACACTCAGTTACTACCCGCTAGAACTACGTAGCACGGGGGTCTGTCCGGCAATGTGGTAAACACAGATAGAGCCGGGAGGGGGCGACAGGAATCAATATTTCTGAGGCGGGATATACAAGACTCTTACAGATTATCCCTAAATTATAATTAAGAATTAACACACGAAATTAAATTACATTTCCTCTAGATGTTTTGAGTCTAATTACACAATTTAATTACTCTAGCCAATTACAAGATTGGACGGTAGTATATTGCGGAGCCCTAGTTGATAATGAGCTAAGTCACGAATAGGAAGGGCTCTATAACACAACCTTGCGGGAAACCTTTACAAATATTCCGGCTAAACAAACACCACGATATGTGTGGCATGCGAGGATATTGTTAGGGTTTATCGTCATGGCTCGAGATGGGTGTTGAATGTTGTAAATTGTTATGGTTGGTAAAGTTATGGATGGTCGGATTGTAAATGTGATTTTGCTATGTGTGTGTTTTTTCTAATTAATTTAACGATATTTTAGCATTAGTTGTTGTTAGGAGAACATGGAGTTTCAAAGAAAAGCGGTTAAAAAGAATTTAAAATCAGGAGGGTCGTACTCGATTATCTATCAGGTACTAAGACACCAGTTATTAAGTTTTAAATATGATAGAATCATCCAAAAGTTGTATTTATAACGAAATATTGTAATTTGCACTTAAACGTTAATTAGGTCGTGAATATAAAGCACCACATCCATCATATTTTAGGGATATAATAGAGTGTAGTAGTTAAAGTACTGTGTACTTTATTAATAAAATATATACTTGTAAAGTAGGATTATAATTTAGTATTGTAGGCACATTTAATTATTTCTTCTAAAGCCGGAGTCTAGTCTAGGGAACGTTATGAGTTGTCTTCATTAATCTCTTATACAATTTGTAGCTCACCCGTCTACGTACATACGTGTAGATATTTCGTACTTGTAAACAATTCAGACGATGGGTAAACATATTTTCACAACCCATCCTTGTTCATTTTCTAGTTTGTGCCTTTCATGTATCTTTTATAACAATATAAAAATATCCTGCTGTCCTACATTTGGTTGATTACACTCGAATACTTGTGCATATGTATGAATAACTTTCCCGTACGCATTAGTTTCTGAATTATTTGAGAAAGAAGCATTTCATATCATTATGCTAAAGTATAATAAATCATTATATTGTATTTAAAGATTACGAAAGGGTCGAACCTGGAACACAGCCGTTGCGATCATGTAGAAGTTTATTGTTTGCAATAAGAGAAGTCTGAAAACGCTGTTGTCCTAGATCACCGTATGTTTTATATAGGTTAGTGTTAGGCCGGTATTACACTATCATAGTTCTATGACATATTATATTATCAAATATATGATAATATGTTCTCTCAAGGAGAACATATATAGTTAAAAACCATTATAATAGTTGGTACATTACACTGTAATAATTTTCATCAAAGACATATGATAATAGATATATGTCATAGAACTATGATAGTGTAATACGGGCCTTAGCATGTATTAGTTTAATATCGGAATGTCGTATTATTGTTGGTTTTAAAATACATAATGAGGCAAATTGTTGATGCTAAAATAAAAAATATCGGCTTTACAGGTTAACTTATTCCTTTAAATCCTGTTTTTTATCACGTTCCAGTAATTTAAAGGTGCTATATTAATCAACTAAATTTCGATGTAAACAATACGATCCCCTACCCTGCACATTCCGTTTGCATATTGTTGAAACTGAAAATATAATTGTTAAAGGGTATCGGTACTATCTTTGTTTCATACATCAGTGCAGAGTTATAACAGTGAGAGTCCAAGGTAGTAGGGGTGGTGAGGAGGGGCTCGTACAATAGGGGTAACGAAATATTGTACCCCAACCAGGTTAGTGACGTCATGATGAAGTCTCATTTCACAACAAAATCAGAGTGTACGGGTCGGAATTGTACTTATAAAACTTTGATATTAGATGCACGAGTAGTTTGATTAAATTCATCACCATATAAAAACTGGACGGCCCGGAATTGTCCCCCCTCATCCAGAACTGACTCTTATTTGGTCAGTGTATTTGATGGAATTGTACCTCCTGTCAGTGTAGTCTTCCTTCTAGGACCGGAATTACTGTACCCCCCAACTTCCTATGACTGTGACCTCTTCACGCTCTGAAATTGAAATGGACGTAGCAGACCTATGTGATGCTGAACTTAATTACGGACTAAATTCAAACTCAAATAAATAACATCTCAATGCAGGCCTAAGTTGTGTGTCGTATATTGTTGTCCCTAATGTGTGACAACACCAGCACAGGAGGGAGGTTTCTTTTTTTATATTCCCGTTCTTGACGTCCCTCGGGCTTCTTAAGGCTCAATGTATATTATCCTCTCAATCATAATATTTCCTTACAATAATTCAGTTTAGGTTATAACCTTTAATATTCAATGCTATTATTGGAAGTTTTCCCATTTACCGTGTTTTGTAATTTGATACTTTACTATGGATGGCGTCTCATAAACACATGTTAAAGTATGTTGTTTACTTATGCCTTGTCATTTTATAAATCCAACATTGCTACTTGGCAACCCAAAGAGCCAGTGTAAAAACTGTTAATTTTCAATTATCGAAAAACGAGTTTCCCTGAGATGATGAATTTCTCCGTTGCTGATGTAACGAATGATGATCGAATACAGATGATCTATTCAAATAATTTCGTTATCAAGCCACCTGAATAATGTCTCCATCCAGTGACCAGTTCCTCCTCAAGAAGGTGACTCCCTCAGATGACATGTCAAGATATGCCCTTTTTGCTCACAGGCTATGACCTTTACAGTCAAAAGGTAGGCGTACTTCCTAAATTATATAGTTGAGTACCATTATACTTATTTGATGCAGATGCTTTCCAAACCGTTCTTGTTTGAGTTTAACTTATTTGATTTGAGAGCTTTTAAAGTTGCTTGACTGTAGATACATATTCTTTTGTCTGTAATTATCTTTTTGACATTCTCGTTGACACAAACCATACCTCAGCGATCTCCGGTTGGAAAACGGTTGTATCTTATAGGAAGGCCGATACCAGGACCTTCCTGTTCCAAAACGCCCGACCCAGTGCCCCCTGGTTTTACCTTGGATTCATCAGTGTAGCAAACCAAATCGCTTATGGGGATAGTCCTCTTTCCTATTTATTTTCCTCCGATGGTCTGCTTACTATCTTAAATGGCTTACCGAGGGAGTATTTTGGTCATATGATCTTATTGCATATCCAGTACATCCGTATGTACCATCTGGATTATTTTTGGGGAACCCTGATTATACCTGTGGCTTGCGCATCTCAGTTGGAGGGCTGTCTTCCTAGCGACCACCTTAATGAAGGTGTCAAAGTACTCGAACTCCTACCAGACCTTTCACTGCAGCACCAGACTCCATCTTGGCCCACCATTTCATTGTGCATGAATAACCATCATTGCAGGAATAACCACATAAGCATAAAACCAATGCAATACTAAGTGTCACAGTAAGAGGCAGTTGAAACAGTCATGTCCATATAATCAAATAAATCTAGGGCTATGAGTCTTGTACATAGTAGTGTTGGTGTCCAAGGGTATGTAGGGAGGTGCAGAGGAGGGGTTGGTACAATAATGTCCACGCTATCAGACCAGACATTAGCATACACTTGCATGCAACACTAATCAATGTACGCTGAGTCACTTCGACCCATCTAGATTGGCCACCTTGCTTTACAAGAAACTTTTACAGCACCTTTGAGATGTCTCGGCTATAAACGCATTAATGACAAACGCGACAAATAATTATTTTCTGTTTAGTGATAAGTTTTTACAGTTGGTTTGTGGATGCACTTTTTACAGAATCGTGAGATTGAAGATATTCATAGAACGTGTTTTTTTAGATACAAATCATTGGTTTATCACGGTTTTTATTTGTGTTTCTACGGCATTTTGTAACTAAAGGGAAACGGACCATTACCTGGACATATAGTTCCAGAAGTTATAACGCTTGGAGTCGTGCCAGCGACCTTCATATTTGAGGCGATCACTTTAACTACTCGGTTACCCTTATTAGTGTATATTTTTTAGTTTGCTCTTGGCCCTTTGGTTATAATAGCACAGAAAATACAGTAGTAATATAGATTGTTACATCTAGGTAGGGAGAATAGTTTTATAAATTGGAGGAACGTCCTACAATCATAATTTATGATAAACCAACCTAACATAACCGCCGCAGCACGCTGTATAAGGTTGGCCTCCGGATAATACCAAAGTACCGAGAAAACGTTTAATCCTATTGTTAAATATAAAGTCTGTTTTGGGGTTTGTTTCATGTCCGCATTGCACACTAACCCATAATGTTATAATAACAAAATAATTATAAATTTGCATTTTTAACGTAAAATGTTTAAGGTTTAAGGCAAATGCATATACTTAATACAACAAGGGTCTTCCATTTTACAACCACCCTACTTTACAGATTTTTACGATTGAGGTGTCATTTTATAGCTTATGATAAGAAACCGGTTTAGTACTGTGAAATTTGCACACGGGTACCCTCGTCATAAACTAGTAGTACGCTTATTCTGCACGTAACAAGATGAGTGAACATGAGCGCAATAATGAAAGAGTTTACCCACACCTAGCACACTTACCGGCGTACTGGTGTACACAATAATGTTATTTGTATGGGCAAATCGACCCATGAGTCGGGGCAAATAATGGTGAGTCGGTGACTCAAGTCGGTAGCGTCACGCGAACTTCGGGCCCAAGGCAGCGATGTCGTGAGTTCGGATCCTGGTCACTGCCACTAAATTATATCAGTACAGTTCACCTTTGTACTGTACCGGCTCACCAATTGCTTTGCTGTAAACGATCCACGCACGGGCGAGGTTAAAAGAGGCTGGACCAACCTCTTAAAAAAACCAAATCTCAGTCAACAACAATCCTAACTTCTCGTCCATTAATTAACCAAAGTCATTGGTAATATACGTAACGTATTTCCTGTTTCCCTCTCTTCTCATAG